CAGCGGAAGTAGCAGCAGTAGGCAGGAGCAGTGACAACCAGTGCAGTGGTAGCAGATTCAGCTGTAGGCAACCCTGAGCCAAAGCAGAAAACACAAAGCAGAAAAAGTAGCAAATGTAGGGGCGGCAGGTCGCCTGAGGAGCAGGCTCTGTGGCTGCAACGTGCAGCAGGACAGCAGCGGCTCGACGGCAGCACCTGCAGGCCCCAGCAGCAGAAAACAAAAAAACAGGGCAGGTGGCGACAGGGGCGACAGCTGGAGGTGCCACAGTAGCAGCGGGCGGGCAGCAGCAGATGCCTGGCTGCAGGAGGAGGAGCCGAGAGAACGCAAAAAACATAGAACAGAAGGGAGAGAGGAGGAGATGAGGAGGCGGCTGCGGCTGGTGCTGAAGCCACGCTCCCACCACCCCCTCACCCTTCCCCCCCACAGCGACTGGCGCTGCAGGGAGAGAGCGGAGGAAGGTGGGCAGCGGCTAGCGCTGCAGAGTCCCTCCCGCCACGCCTTCCACCCTCCCCCCCACAGCAGGACGCACGGCCCAGCAGCAAAGAGCAGGAGCGGCGCGGGCACTGCTGCAGATCCCGCCCACCATCCACCCCCGCCATCTCCCCACAACAGTAGTTTCCGCGGCAGGGCGTGCGACGAGCCCGCAGATGCGGCGGAGAATAGGGAGGGACGGTCGAGCGGGGGCAGGGCGCTGGCGGTTACTGCAGCCTGGCCGCCAGACCCTTCCCCCTTCTTCCCCCTCACAGTGACCGACGCTGCCAACGTGCAGGGGCCGCGACGGGGGGGAAAATTTTAGGGGGGGCCGGACGAGGGTGCGACGAATCCGCAGCGGTTGCAATCGAGGCCGCAAACGCTCTCGCGCAGCTCGCCGCCGAGATCGTTTCGACGGTCGCGACCGTTGTAACCGTCGTAACAACGGTCGCAACGGGTGGGCGTGACGAGCGCCGTGAGGGGGGGGATACGTGGTGGGCCCATGGGGAAAATGAAATTAGGTCTTAGGACGACCTAGCTCTTAATACCATGTCAAGATTAGCTTAGAACCTAGGAAACTAGGTGAGGGTGTCGAGAGTAGCGAGAGCGAAGAGGGGGTTCAATTAAGAGCACAAGGTACAAAGATATAGGCAAGAACTAGGGTAATAAGGTGCACCACCAAACGGGAAACATAACTACACTAACACTACATACAAATATATAAACATGAATAACATATTTCGACACGAATTAATATATCTTCGAAACAGGATGGTAACAGTAACGGTGAACTGTAGGGGTGCTATACGGCGTTGCAGCGTCGAGTCCGTACCTCATTCAGTCACACCTAGTTACACTTTGCAGTACGCTGTAAGGGGGTTTTTATAGAAGCACGAGTGGTACGACATGCACTTCGGTTCCGTTTACTTTAAAGCCTTCGTGCATGGTACAAACATATTTGCTGATATACCTGTCTGTTGTGTAGGTGTTTGTCTGGGTGCGAGGCTAATAGGAACAGTGATGTACATACGCGGTGGACGCAATGTAACTATAAGTTGTAAACCATACACTGTTTGCTAAAATGTAATATTCCCCTTTCCAATTAAGCACGGAGTTCGCGGAGGTGATTGTTCACCAGCTCGAGCATCGGCTAGGCAACCTGGATGGGATGTCCGGGGTGAAGCTGTTCCCTGCCAGACGAGTACCCGTTGGATCGAGCTGAGAGGAAACGGCGGTGCCTTCAGTGGCTATAGTCGCTAATCACCTTGTTCAAGGCCGACCTGACAAAGGAGATCGTGCCAGGTAAGCCTTATCATCCTGCTTCGTTGCTCTGCTTGTGTACTGTGCGATGCTTCTATCTATGTGTTTAATTAATCATTCAAATACCGTATGTTTTATCGTTGTTTGTGTTTGTTTACTCATTCCAATCTGTTTACCCAATCCCGCCAGGAGTCAACAAGCACCGTGCAGAGAAGGAGCTTCACATGTTTACCTCGGTGCTTGCAGCCTCTACCAAGGGCGGAGCGCAGCTTCACACGGGACTCACAGCCATGCTCAAGACGCCGGACTGGCGGGACAAGTATCACAACCTTGTTCATCTATGGGTGGCAGTAGCTTTCCTGCCGCTGAGCACCGTGGAGTGCGAGCGTGGGTTTTCGAGGCAGAACATTATCAAGTCGTGGAAGAGAGGCTCGCTGAAGGATGCACGACTGGGCGACCTCATGTGCATGAGCCTCATGGACTACGAGCCCAACTGTGACAATCTGGAGGGCCTACAAGAAGCGCAAGCCCCACAGCAACGCTCCTCTCCCGCCTGCAGGAAAGCAACAGAACAGGTCCAAGGAGACAGAGGAGGTGATGGAAGTAGAAGACATAGAGCAGGATGATGATGATGCATCCGATGGTGATGATGATGGATTTGATGAGTAGACTAGAGTAGATATGATAGGATATATATAGCTACAAGCTAGGTAGTAGTACGGTACCGTATGGCCCCGGATAGTAGCGCATATGCGCTTATAATAAAATCGTTTTTTTTAGGGGTGGCGCTAGTAATTGAGGAACGGCCATAAGCGCCGGCGCTTTTATAACGACAAAAATTATTTTCGAATTCAAATGAACCAAATTGAAGCTATCAATAAGGCGAATACAATGATGTGACGTGCGCATGGGATCGTGCATGGAATCACGGCGAAACTTGCCGCGATTCGAATTCCCACCACACAAAACCTGTCTAGGAGCAACGCACCTGCCAGCGCTGACGCGTAACCTGTCGTGCGGCCCAATGAGGTCGTCATGCGCTGCCAGGCAGGAGCATCTCGACCGAACCCTCTAGAAAGGGGGTAGAAGATGCCCTGCCAGCGCAGCATGGATGGTTCCATGAACCCTCCTCTGCGGGTTCAGGCAGAGGGGCAACCCTCGTTCATTGACGAGGGCCCCGAGGCGCCATGCCGAAGGGGTCCCCTTCATTCTTTCATTTCTTGCATCTTTCATCCAGTTTTTCATTCAGTTTCTCGTTCTTTCCCGCCAGGCTGCGGAAGCCATGGCGGAATTCACCGGCACCCATTTCTTGTTTAAGAAGAAGCCTTCTGCTAGGCCCGCGTTTAGAGTTGACGCTGACGGGTGGTATTCCCGTATCCCACCAGAGCCACCACAACCTCCTGCGCCTCCTGCGCCGCCTGCTCCTCCTGCGCCTCCTGCGCCTCCTGCTCCTCCTGCTCCTCCCGTTCCTCCGTCTCCTGCATATCCCGTGCATCCTGTGTTCACGGGCAATTAGCCCGTGCTCACGCTCCTTCTCCCTTCGGCGTTCGATGAGTACCTCTCTGAACCGGACTGCGACAAGCGCCAAGATGAGTTACCGTGATGCTCGCGTGCACGGCGGACGGGGTGAAGCTCAAGCCCTGGGTGTTTTTCAAGCGGAAGACCGTGCCGAAGGGCGATTTCCCGGCGGGTAAGTCATGGTTTATATTACAGTGTCGTGTTCTGTATCTTCTCTTTAATCGACTGACATCTTGTTCATCTACGCCTGTGCAGATGTGGTCGTGGCGTGCCACGAGAACGGGTGGATGGACGCGGAGGGCGTCATCCGATGGCTTGAGGAGTGTGTCAAGCCTTTCTTGAAGCCCCGATTCGGCAGGTGTGCGAAGAGCTCCATGCTGGTGCTGGACAACTACCGTGGCCACCTCACCGAGGGGGTGAAGGAGAAGTTCCGCGAGCTCAACTGCGTGCCGGCGGTCATCCCGTCTGAGTGCACGGCGGAGGTGCAGCCCCTCGATGTCTCTATCAACAAAAGCTTCAAAGCTTCAATCCGCCAGTAGTATCAAAAGTGGTTTCAAGAAGAGGGGCAGGAGCAGCTGACAGCAGCAGGTACGTTGTAAGCTACGGTAGATGCATATGCTTGTTTATCCACTCCTCCTCCCCTTTGCAACGCTAACTCTGTTCGTGGTGTTATTGTCCGTGTAGGGAATCTCAAGAAGCCCCCCCGAGCAGTGGTCCTGCGATGGGTCTCTCGGGCATGGAAGGCCGTGCCCGCCGACCTCATCAAGCGCGCCTTCCTCGCTTGTGGCATTAGCAACACGCTTGACGGCAGCAAGGACGGCCTCGCGATGGCACACAGGCGGACCCAGCTGACCGCGGAAGTGGATGTCGACGACGACATCATCGCTGATGGCTTCTTTGGCAACAACTGCCAGGAGCCTGAGTCTGACGAGGAGGAGTAAGAACGGTAGTTGGTTCATTGGTGGGAAGGCTTGTATAAAGGTCTGTTCATTGAGTTAGAAGTATCGTAGATGGATGTAATTGTTGGTGCTAGACTTATAATGAATTTTTTTGTGATGTTAGTAGTTAGTTTCTTAAATTGAAAAAAAGAAATGCATTAAAGTAGGCGCTTATAATAAGTACGGGTACAAAATGGTCTGCGCTTATAATCGAGGAACGGCCATAAGCGCCATGCTCCAGATAGAGGCGCCGGCGCCTTTAATCGGACGGCGCCTATATCCGGGGCCATACGGTATGACTCTTAACTGTTATGTGCTAGGGTGTATGTTCTAGGCCAGCCTTATGTAGTTGAAAAACACCTTAAATACACCAGCACTTAATCAGACTTATCATTGGGGTGAACTCTGATTGCTTCAGACTTTTCTTTAAAGACACTCGGAAGTTTCAGCCTTTGTTTCAAACCTAGTCTGATCAAATCAGACTAACACAGTGTATTAAGTCTGACAAATCAGACAGGCAAAAAACGAATCTGAGGGCCTGGTTGGTTGCCATAGCACTGGTACCGTAAATGAAAGCAACGAACACTAACGTATGTTAGTAGCAAGAGAAATGTACGGTACCGTATGAATGAATATAATCCTGTACTAGGGGAATCAATGTGGGGTGGGGGATCAATGACAGCCATCCATCCATGATCCATGATTCTTCTGTTTCTCCACACAAACGCCGGCACACGTTGAGTTTGCTATCATAATCTCTCCACAACTCCTCTCCCCTTTCCCTAACACCACACCTCTTCACCCCACCTCACATCACGCCTCCTCCTCGTCCTCCTCCCCATCCACCACCACAACCCCCACCTCCTCCTCTGCCGCCCAGTGCTCCTCCCACCAATGGGGCTGCAGCACCGCCCGCGCCTCCTCCAGCTGCTGCCGGATCCCCGCCAGCTGGCGCCCGTCTGGCATCGCCACATCAGCGGGTGCCACATCAGCGCCAAACAGCTTTGCCGCCCGTGCGACGTACTGTGAGACTGCTGTTTGCTGCTCGGGTGTGAGAGTGGTGGATGAGGTAGAGGAGGAGGAGGAGGAGGAGGACGAGGCGGAGGAGAGAAGGGAGGAGCCGGTGACACGTGGCAGCATCTGATTGGTGTGCAGCAGCATGAGAGGCGCCATCAGAGCATCCACGCATGGCTGAGTGGGCGGCCAGTCCCAGACAGGCGCTGCCGCCCGCTCCCTCCTCTCTATCACCTGCAGCAGGGCGGCACAGTGCGGCATGTCCCGCCACCCGCTGCGACAATCCAGAACCAAATCTTCATAAATAGCCAAGGAAACCAGCAGCAGCAGAGGGAGGCGCTTGGGTTTCGTCCCCACAAAACCTTCAAAAGTAGGCAGGTCAAAGTGGCTGGAACCCCACTGCACCACTCTGAACACCACATCCACCTTCACCTGCATTGGCAGCGCTGCCAGCACCCCCATCACACTCGCGCCATACACCGAGTCTTCGCCGCCCAGCGGAATCAGCCTCGGGACCTTGCCGAAGCTGCTTCCGAGCATGCTCGTCTGGTTCGGGCTCACAACTGGTGGGGCCTGAATGGATAGCTGCTGCGGCGATCTCTGCTGCTGCTGAGAATGCTGCTGCTGAGAATGCTGCTGCTGCAATTGCCGTTGGGCTTGCTGCTGCTGCTTCTGCTGCTGGTACTGGTCCGGGTGGTGGTGGTGCCGCGACTGGTGGGAAGGTCTCGACGAGTCGGTGTGCGTGCGAGCGATGGTAGGCTGTTCATTACCCGAGTCCGACCGACCGTGCCCGAACGCCTGCAGCAGAGAGCCAGGGAGGCTCATAGACATCATCTTCTGCATCATCTCAGGGGTGGTACTGTTCATGTGGGCGGTACTGTTCATGGGAAAGTTCCTGTTCATACTGCCTGCCACCCCCCCAGCTGTGTCTGGGGCCATACCCGAACCGCCACCGTACCCAGAGCCCTCTTCTCCCTCCATTCCCCCATCGCCCCATGCTTGACCTCCCCCTCCCCCACTCCCACCTCCTCCCCCTCCCCCCCCTCCTCCCCCTCCCCCACCCCCTGCATCCCCGCCCATGCCACCGGCCCGGCCCATCCAGGCACGTCTGTTGCCGTGCCTCCTGCCTCGTGACAGCAACGGCCCACTCAGCACCTTCTTCCCCTTCACCCGCCCTCTTGCCTGCCCCGCCTGCCCTCCCCCTCCGCCCCCACCACCCCTTCCGCCATCACCACCATAACCACCACCACCAACAGCAGCAGCAGGAGCAGGGGCAGCGTCAGCGGCAGCCGCAGAATCGAGTCCCCTGCCTCCGCTGCCCCAAAAGCTGTCCCCGCTGCTGCCTCCCGAACCAGAGTGCCCAGGGTCGGCAGGCCAGGCACGGGGATGGTGCGGGAGAGAGTTGGTGGTGCGGAGCTGGTACTGGGAGTCCGAGGCCTCTGACTCGTCATAGCTGCCTGGTATCCACACAGAGGATGCGGACGGGTGGGCCTGGGCGGGTGCAGCTGCGGATTGCATGTGCTGCTGCTGCTGGGACTGCATCTGCTGCTGTTGCATCCTCTGCTGCTGCTGGTACTGCTGCTGCTGCATCTGCTGATGCTGCTGCAGCAGCTCTGGTTCATGCTGCCAAGGCTGCGAGTGCTGGAAAACAGGGCCTGACGCACACGAGGAGTCAGAGGACAACCGGGGGCCCGAGGATTGCACCTGGTTAAAGCCCGCCTGCTGTGTCCCCATTGGCAGCTGCTGCACCTGGTGCTGTTGCGACTGCCATGGCTGTGAGTGCGAGTGTGGGTGTGGGAGGGTTAGCGAGGTGCGAGGAGAGAGTGGGGGCAGACCTGCCTGCTGCTTCTGCTGCTTCCGTTGTTGCGGTGCCAGTTGCTGCTGCTGCATGTGCTGCTGCATCTGCATATGCTCCTGCTGTGCCCACTGACCCTCCCCACTCTGTCCACCCAGCCGCCCCAGATCACCCTTCCCCAGGCGCAGCCTATCCGACACGTCAGTCAGCGCCTTCCTGGACAGCATCCCACCCACTCCCACCATCCCCTCTCCCGCTCCTGCGCCCGCCCCCAGCCTCTGACTCCTCGGCATATCAGACCAAGACTTGGGAACATTCAACCCACTGCCTGTGTTCATGCTCAGCGTTCTGCTGGCAATGCTTAGCGTTCTACTTGCCCCTGCCCCTGCCCCTGCCCCTACCCCTACACCTGCCCCCCCTGCTCCTGCGCCGCCTCCTGCCCCCTTCCCCTTAGCATGGCCGAACGGCATTGAGTAAAACAGCCGGTTACTCGGCCTCACCCTCCCCTTCCCCCCAGCGTCCCCCTCCCCCTGCTGCTGCATCAGCCCCTGCCCTTGATCTAGCCCTTGCTCAAAGCCCAGTCCCAAGCCTAACCCCTGCCCCTGGCCTAGCTCCTGCCCTTGAATCCAGGATCGGTAACAGTTGGGAGGGATGGCAACGCCTCTGGGGCTTACAAGTGCTGCTGCTACTGGCGCTGCTGGTGATGCTGCTGCTGCTGCTGCTGCGACTGATGCTTGTACGGAAGGTGATACTAGGCCGCCGTTGTTATAAGAACTCAACACCCCATACTCCATCTCCTCCTCCTCTTCCTCCTCATTCATTAAATAATTCCCGCCCACCCCGGGCCTCCCGCCGGACCTCCGCCGAACCAGGCTGAGTTCCGGAGGCTCGGAAGACACGGAGAAGCGGGGAAGCTGGGTGAGGCTAGGGGGGGAGGAGGAGGGAAAGGAGGGGAGGGAGTGGGAGGTGATGGGCTGGGCAGTGGTCGGCAGGGGGGCGGCGAGGGTATCGGAAGTGGGCGGCAGAGTGATGTCAGCGGCGAGGGGGAGGGCGTGCAGGCGGAAGAGAGAAGGCAGGTGGCCCCGGGCGACGCGCACTCGAGCCATGCTGCCCCCCCCTTCCCCCTGCTTCTCCTGCTGCTCCTTCTGATGCTTCTTCTGCTGCTTCTGCTGTTTCTTTTGGGTCTGCGTCTGTGGTTGCAGCTGCTGCTGCTGCTGCTGTTGCTGGTCCGAGGGCAGATGGATCTCCACAAAGTGTCGATACTCGGGAAACTCGCTTCGCAGATCAGCCTGGGGCAGGACAGGAGGGAGAGCGGGGATGGGCATTGGATAAGAGGGGCGGGAATGAGGGAGTGGCATGAGTTCCACGCTCCAGTGGAGCGATCCAATATGAAAACGAGGAGGAAAGACAGGAGAGGGGAGGAGGGGGAGTAAGAGGAAGGGGAGCAGGAAGCTCACCCTGAGCTTCTGAGCCTGTGCAGTGGCAGCTAGCGCCACACCATTCCCACTGCCGCCGCCGCTCCCACCGCCCCCTCTCGGACTCCTCTGCCCAAACGGCAGAAAGCACGACATCACCCCCCCACCCGCCACCCCCCCTCCTCCTCCACCTGGGGTCAACTCCTTCAGGTGCTGCCTCAGGTGCTTCAGGTGCTTCAGGTGTTTCACGCTCAGGTTCAGGGGAACCTCAAGGGTCCTGACAGTCTGTGCCAGCTCCAGCATGTGGTTTGCCAGCTGGGCGGCAGAGACCCCCCCTATAAGCACACCCACGGTTTCGGCCCCATACACGCCTCCCCTGGTTGCGACCATCTGGGGCAGCACGCGCAGCAGAAGGGGGGGGAGCTTGGAGGTGGGGGGGGCGTGGGGCAGGACGACGAGGGCGTGTCGGGATAGCCACCCGGGAGGGTTGTTGTCGCCGCCAGTGCCGGTGCCGGTACTGGTGGCAGAAATACGCGGCGATTTGGGGTTTGATGTGCTGGGCGCGTTGGGGCTCGCCCTCCCTCCTGCTGGCGTTGCCGCCGCCGCTGCTGCTGCTGCTGCTGCTGCTGCTGCTGCTGCGGTGGGTGTTGTGGCGTCGGGTGCGAGCAGACCTTTCTGCAACCGAATGTCCCACACCGCGTGCTGCAGCCTGGTGGAAGGAGTAGTGGTTTGAAACGATGGGTGAGGGATTTGGGTTGAAAAGTAGGAAGAGATGAGGGCCAGTCCCTCCATTGGACCATTGGCTGGGTCGAAAAGAAAGAAAGAAAAAAACAACAAAAAGCGACGCTTGTTCATCAATGATAGCTACTAATATTATTTTTTATATTGAAATGGTTACCACTATAATGTATTATCAGTGCCTTCATTTTTCACAAAATTAATCATTTAATAATAATCATTGTTATATTGGTTACTCTCAACACTCGCTGGGTGACTCACCCGAGGAGACAGCAGACGGAGCGCCACGCGCCATACTGCGTGGAGGAGAATTGTTCATCTGTCCAGGTGACTTTTGAGTCGACTCAAAAGTCATCTGTCAGCAGCAGCACCCCCGTTTGCTTAGCACTCAAGGAGTTTCCTTTCTACAGGTGGAGGGGAGAACGGTCTAGACGCACAGCCAGGCACTCACCCGAGCAGGCAACAGATGGAGCGCCACGCGCCATATGGCTGAAGGCACTCACCCGAGCAGGCAACAGATGGAGCGCCACGCGCCATATGGCTGAAGGCACTCACCCGAGCAGGCAACAGATGGAACGCCACGCGCCATATGGCTGAAGGCACTCACCCGAGCAGGCAACAGATGGAGCGCCACGCGCCATATGGCTGAAGGCACTCACCCGAGCAGGCAACAGATGGAGCGCCACGCGCCATATGGCTGAAGGCACTCACCCGAGCAGGCAACAGATGGAGCGCCACGCGCCATATGGCTGAAGGCACTCACCCGAGCAGGCAACAGATGGAGCGCCACGCGCCATATGGCTGAAGGCACTCACCCGAGCAGGCAACAGATGGAGCGCCACGCGCCATATGGCTGAAGGCACTCACCCGAGCAGGCAACAGATGGAGCGCCACGCGCCATATTGCGTTGAGGTGAAGCGCTCATCTGTCAGCAACAGCACCTCCGCCCACTGCTGCTGCCCCACGCCCCCCGCGGCACTCATTACCCATTGCCCCGTGGGGCTTCCTGCGCTAGCCGTGGTCGGCATGTACCCTGGCACCAGCCGCACCTGCTTGCGCCTGAGAGGTGTGGGATTGGGGTGGGGTGGGGTGGAGGTGGGGATGATGGGTGAACATGTGGGTCAGGCAGGATGGGGGGTTTGGAAGGGAGGGGCTGTGTGGCGAGCAAGGCCGCATTGGTACGTGGATGGAACGTACCCCGACACCAGCTGCACCTGCTGAGTCAATATAATGAGCTGCCCAACTCACCGCTTGTGAGAGCGCTGTCCGTTTGCCACGAGCTCGGCCGACACCGACGCGAGGGAGAAGGGCGCCGGCAGCGACGAATCGTCAAGCGCCAGCTGGACGTCGATGGTCACGCTCTCGTGGGCGGCGAGGGGCGGCAGGAACTCCCGCTTCTCCCGCCGCTGCCTCCTGCCTGCTGACCTCTCGCCCCCCCGCTTGAGCGAGCCGGGCGTGAGAGCCCCTCGCGCGCTGTCCCTCTCACTGTCACTCTCGCTTGCCCACTCCACTGCTGCCACCACCTCCACCTCGCCTTGCAGGCTGGGAGGGGAGGGGGGAAGGAAAGAGAGGAGGGAGGTGTGGGAGGAGCAGGAAAGATTAGGAAGAGAAGACTCTTGTGGGGTGTGGTGCGGGGGGCAGTAGAAACTCGCACCGCTTCTCCCGCCGCTGCCTCCTGCCTGCGGACCTCTCGCCTCCCCTCTTTAGTGAGCCGGATGTGAGAGCCCCTCTGGCGTTGTCCCTCTCGCTGTCAGTCTCACTCGCCCACTCCACTGCTGCCACCACCTCCACCTCTCCTTGCAGCCTGGGAGAGGAGGGGAGGAAGAGAGAGTGTGAGAGAGAAAAATGGGAGGAACAGGAGAGATTGGGAAGAGAAGACTCCCCTGCTGCCACCACCTCCACCCCGCCTTGCAGCCTGGGAGGGGAGGGGAGGAAGAGAGAGTGTGAGAGAGAAAAATGGGAGGAACAGGAGAGATTGGGAAGAGAAGACTCCCCTGCTGCCACCACCTCCACCCCGCCTTGCAGCCTGGGAGGGGAGGGGAGGAAGAGAGAGTGTGAGAGAGAAAAATGGGAGGAACAGGAGAGATTGGGAAGAGAAGACTCCCCTGCTGCCACCACCTCCACCCCGCCTTGCAGCCTGGGAGGGGAGGGGAGGAAGAGAGAGTGTGAGAGAGAAAAATGGGAGGAACAGGAGAGATTGGGAAGTGAAGACTCCCCTGCTGCCACCACCTCCACCCCGCCTTGCAGCCTGGGAGGGGAGGGGAGGAAGAGAGGGAGTGGGAGGGAGATGAGGGATGGAAGGAAGAGAGAGTGGGAGGGCGGTGCTGGAAGGAGCAGGAGCAGGAGAGATCAGGACAGAGCAAGGCATGAAGAGAAGGGAAGGAGCAAGTAGCACGTACGGGAGGGGGGAGTTGTTGGTGAGAGTGAATCGGATGGCCAGCTCATCCCCAATGCGCATCTCGTTGGGAATCTGCACCGCGTCGCACGACACATCGGGCGGCACACACGGCGCATCGGACGGCAAGGAGCGTCCGCTAGTGGACTCGTATGCTGCCACCGCAAGGGATCCACCTTCACTCCCATCCTCAACCTCTCCTTCATCCTCTCCTCCCCCTCTACCGTCATCTCTCTGCCTGTACACCCGTTGCTCATCTCCGCTTCCCCGGCCCCACTGCTCCCCTAAACCCTCTCCTCCCAGCACCAAGCTCTGCCCACGCGGCCTACGCATCTCCTCTGCTGCGTCTCCCACCATCTCAGCTCCCTCACCCAGCCACTGCCGCTGCTCATGCTCATGCTCATGCTGATGCGTCTGCTGCTGAAGCGGCGACCACCCCGGCCCTTTCTTGAGCGGCAAGTACTCATCTTCAAGACTGGCACCCCCGCCGTCTCCACCTGGGCTCAGATACTCTCCGCCACCTCCACCTGGGCTCAGATACGCGTCTCCACGATTCACACATCCAAGCCGCACTGCCTCTGCCTCTGCCTCACTACTCTCACTCCATCGTCCATCCTTCCACCCCCTCTCTCCCCCGCTACCTGTCCCCCTGCCCCCTTCGCTATGGCGTCGTACGCCGCCCCTCCCATCCCCGCCCCTCCCATCCCCGTCCCTCCCATCCCCGCTATAGTGCTCCTCACTGCTTGCCCAAGGCCGCCGCAGCCTCGCCCTGTCCTCTGTCTCCCGGGCAAACACTTCCCCCTCCCGTGAAAACGCCTCTCCCTCCATTCCCTCCATTCCCTCCGAAATCTCCATTCTATCCGCATGTGAACCACCGGAGTAAGGCCCTTCAGCCCACGGCCGTGCAGCAGCGGCAGCAGCAGCCTCCACATCGGACAGTTCAGAGGGAGTAGGCTCGGAGAGGTGGGAGAGCGAGGCGTGGGAGAGAGAGCCTTGGGAGCGGTGCGACTGGAACATCTCCTCCTGGAACCGGTCGAAACTGCGCCGCTCACTTCTCATCGACCCACCGGTGCGTGGCCGACTCAACAACCCCTGCTGCTGCTGCTTCTGTGCCTGCTGCTGCTCCTGCTGCTGCTCCTGCTGCAGCTGAAACAGGCCGCTGCGGCCCGCGTAACCCTCTTCTCTTCCATCCTCCTCGCCTTCCCCTTGCCCCTCCCCCTCCCTCTCCTCCCCCTCGCCCTCCCCCTCGCCCTCCCCCTCGCCCTCCCCCTCAGCAGCCTCCTCTATCACAATACCCAGGAACCGTCCGGAGAGGGAGCGAGGGGACAGGGGGTAGTCTAAGGAGCCCTCCTCCTCCTCCGCGCTTCCACACCCGCCCATGCTTCCCCCTCTACTTCCTCCGCCCAAACTCCCACCAATGCTCTCTACAATGCTTCCCCTGAAACTTCCTCCGACGCTGCTTCCCCCCATGCTTCCCCCCATGCTTCCCCCCATACTCCCCCCCATGCCCCCCCCGATGCTGCTCCTGCTCCCACTCTCCCCTCTCCCGCCACCGCCCCTGCGCCTCCTCTCGCGCCTCTTCCTCCCGCCACTCCCCCGGGCAAGGCCACCACCCACATTACCATCCGCACCCCCACACTTGATATTATCCCCATCCGCATGCCCATAGCTATGGCGGTCGCCGCCATCCACGCTGCTGTCCGTGTCATTGAAAAACAACACTTGCTGCCCCTCCTCTCTCTCGCTCTCCCCCTCCTCCTCCTCACTCATCTCCTCCTCCTCTCCAAACTCCTCCTCCTCCGCCTCCTCCTCCTCGTCCTCCTCCCCTCCTTCCTCCTCCCGCACCTCCTCTCTCTGCGCTTCCTCTTCCCTCTCCACTTCGCCTGTCGCCCTTTCGTCGTCTCCTCCTCTTCCTTCCACTCCCCTTTCGCGCCCACCCGCCTCCCTTCTCCACACTACCCCCATCTCCCTTATCAATTCCCCAGCCCCCTCCTCCTCCCCATCCTCCTCCCCCTCCCCTTTCCCCTTCCCCTTTCTCCCCCAATACCCTTCCGCGGACCCCGTTTCCGCCAGGCTCCCGCTGCTGCGCGACCGGTGAAACCGCCCAGACGAGCCTCTTGCGCTCCCACCAAAGCTATACCCGTCATAAGCATCCTCGTCTTGGTGCAACCCATTATAATCTTCCTGATCTGCACCTGAGAGCCGAACCTGCCCATGCTTCTGCCGCCGCCGCCGCCGTCCCTGCTGCTGCTGCTGCTGCGGTTGCTGCCGTCCCCTGGCTTGCCCTTCCCCACTCCACCCGTCCTGCCTGTTCGAAACCTGCACTGAACTGCTTTTTGCGACAGCAATAACACTGGTTACCCTATTCGTCCGTTCGCTACTGCTTCTATAGAAATCCATTCCATCCGCCGCCCCGCTCCCCTCTCCCTGCTCCGCCTCCCCCTCCTCCCCCTCCGCGCTTTCCCACTCCTCGAACATCTCCCTGCTCTCGTCTATTTTCCCAAACCACCGCGACGGCAGCGACTGCATACGAGACGGCGGCTGCAGCGGCGGAGGCTGTAGCAGCGACTGCCGCTGCTGCTGTAGCGACTGTAAAGGCTGACGCGGCTGTAGCGCAGGCTGCTGCAGCGGCTGCTGGCGCGACAGCGATTGTAACCGCGACAGCGACTGTAGCCGCGACAGGGTCTGTAGCTCGGGAGGATCCGCGCCAGCACTCCGTTCGGTGTTGTAACTATGCGAATGTCGCAAACGACGCACACTGCCACCACCACCGGGACCACAAGTACTGTTGCTGCTGCTGCCGCCGGCAATGCCTCCGCCAGCGTCCGTAGTAGCAGCAACGCCGGTCGCCACGCCTATCCCGGCGCCCCTGGCACTGCCCCAACTGCCTCCCCCCGCGCTGCCGCTTCCGCCTCCGCTTCCGCTTCCGCTTCCGAATCCGCTTCCGCTGGCGCTGCTTCCAGCGCTGATTTTTTCCTTCCTCGATTTTGGCGCCGCGCTGTAGACTTCTTCCAGGGGCGGCGCAGGGGCAGCTCCCGCCTCGTCCCAGCCCGCCGCCAGCGGCGGAGCTTCTTGCGCCCATCTGCGCGGCATTTGCGCGTTTTGCGCGTTGGGCCCGCGGGTAACAGCAGCAGCGGAGCTGGTAACCTTACTAGCGTTACCAGGACTGCTGCTGGCAACAGTTTTACGAATGCCCGTAGAAACGCCCGTGACATAGCTGGGATTGACGGTCACAACTGACGGTGTATTCGTTAAAGCGCTGCTAGGGCTAGTATTGCTAGTAGTAAAGCTCTGCCACCGAAGCGCGGAGGAATCTGAGGTCGTGTTGCTCGGGGACCAAGAGGCGCCGCCCGCGGGGTAACCGCCGCTACCAGTACCGTTATAATCCCCGATAAGCGCGGCCTCGCTCTGAACACCGCCACGGTGCGGCGACATCGCGCCGCCATGGTGCGGCAGCGCGGGGAGAGCCATGATAACGCTGCTGTCGTCTTCCCTGGAAGACGCTACGGGCGACAGAATCATCTCTCCGTCAAACCTCGGGCTCTGATGAGCATAAAAAACGTCATATCCGTTGCCGCCGCTGTCGCCTGACAGTGCCACGTCAGCCTCCGCCTTCGGCTGCAGCCAACCCGCTGGCGAGTTGCCAGCGGCGGAGGCGGCGGCGGCAGCGGCGGCGGAGGCGGAAGAAGCTGTCGTATCGACGGCGCCGCGGAGTAGCGAACCGAAAGCGCCAATGGTGGCGCCGCTGCCGCTGCGAGCAGCGGTTCCTTTCGCGTTGCTACTAGCAGCAGTCGTGGTGCTACTGCGATGATACTGTAAAGCCGCATTATTGCTCTTATCATCATCCCAGGAAACGCGACTAGAAGCCTTTGTTAACGAATCAGAGTCGTTAGATTTGTCGCGCGAGCTGCCGACGGCGCCAGAGGCCGTCGGCCTGGACTGAGGCGTGCTTTCGCGGGACGACCAATCGACGGACGGGACGACGTCGCTGGCGTTACGGGGCGTCCCGCGTGGGCCGAGGTTCATTCCTTGGGCTCGTCGCACGAGCCCGTCGCCGCCCGAGGCTTGTCGCGGCACGAGTCCGTCGCGCGATGGTCGCAACATGATTAGTGCGCGCAACGTCGGGTCGTTAGTACTCCGGCGCGACACTTCCATAGTAGTTGCGCCTTTGCATCGAATCGAGACTAATAGCTCTCCGTTGCTGCCATTCCAGATGTGTCAGCACTGTCGGATGCGTACATAATGGTTTCCGGTACTTCTAGAATTGCCAGTGTAACTCTCACATTCTGTACAGTATTATCGGTCCGTGCAATGAGTGGGTGTATTACTGAAAATGGATCAACAATCAGGTGCCAAGACCTGTTACCTCTCATTCACTCGTGAGCGTGCTTCCAGCTATTGCTCAGAGCAGGATGATTTGGAGGAGGAGGTTTCGATCCCTAATGCTCCAGTGCGGCTAGAATTGTAAATGTCCCATGTGGTGGCGTGGACAGTGGCCTTGTTCGGCAGTAGCTACAGTCACGACTGGAAAAGTGGTTCTCATACACCCAGTATGACAGCTTGTTTCGCTGCTCACAATTCTCTACGAAAAATAGAGGGTGGCTGATCAGGAAATCTTTGAGGTATAGGGGAGAGATATAAGGACGGGAAACACTTCTGTCAATAGTCTGTCAGAGTAATCTCCCCTTGTTAGAAGACAAAACCGTAGTGATTATCCGGGTAAGACTGTGTTCGAAAAAGTGAGACTGTAACTCATATCTGCTGTAAACTCAAGACAGGCAATCTTGGCCTATCCAAACACAAGCGCCAAGAATTGGAAGTCTCGAGTCCAAGTTGCTTTCTTTCAGTTCTGTGCACAGAGAGGGCGAGTTGGAGGAGGCCCAGGAGTCAAGGACGACGAGGATTTATGGCCGGGGCAGGAAACCGCGTTATGACGTAAATAAAACGCGGATTACGGATGTACATTAAACATTTCAGCGAATAATAATCATATTACTAAGATTCTGTCATAAGTGGTGGACTGTGTATGTGGAAACTTCTGGCTCTGGTTCCGCAAAACCTTGCCTTACGTTCACCGACTCCACGGTTTTATGGATTTGCAGCCAGCTTTGGATTCGATTGTGGGAGGGACGCTGAGGAAGAAAATCACTGTACCAACCAGCTCAGCTCAAGTGCGTGCACTTCCTTTCTGTCGTGCACCTGCCACCTCACACCTTCGCTCAAGCCTGAACACCTCAAACCTCAATTTACCGGCCTCCATCCTCTCTAATACAGTTTCGATTTCAAACGATAGGACACGGGCAAGGAAACCCACACCAACCCAACCCAACCACCCAACAGCACACACCGCCGAACCGACCCCAACAAAAGGTGCCGTTGGCAAACCCGCCACTTACCTGAAAGGCGGTCCGCGTGGTCCGAAAATGCTGCACCATGTCTCAGAAATGTCCAAACTAAGAGTCAGTACCAGACAACTTGCACTTGGATGAAATGTCTGGCCAAGTGACTCAAATGACGCCTCAATCTGCAGTGCCTGCAAGCTGCTGAACATTCAAGAACCACCACCATGAAGCGCACACCCTCTCCATAAGGTTTAAGCTTAGAATTTTCAGCTTTATAAACTTGTAAGGAATTTTCTCGGCATTCCTTACGGAGCCGACTACATCGCGTACAGCAAAACAGCCGATTGTTCGCCCGTTACTACTAACGGAACTTCGCCGGCTTCGCGCGCACTGTTTTGCCAAACCTCGCACTGCTGGCATGGCCGCATCGGCCTACGCTTCGGGACTAGCCCGAGCCTCGCTCCAGCGTAGCACTAGCCAGCTCGCACGCACCGCGTTACCGTTTTGCATGTTTCGCGTATAAATGTTCGCTCATGCCTTCGCTCACATTTTGTACTCGTTTGACACCTTAGTGCAATTCTCGCTACCTCGATTCATTGCACCCGTAACACTTGGTTATCAGAGCCCCTTTCCTTTCGGACCGCGCATCTCCGCACACCAGGAAATCAAATTTTGATTTTTCATTCGAAGGGACTCACGCACCTTAGCCCCTAGGAGCCGCTGTCCTCGCGTTCTCTCGTAAACGCGTGCAGCCACGACTGCGCCTAGACTAAGACGAGCCGACGCCCTTCGTCATGGCCGAAAACATCGACGTCACCACTCTCACGCAGGAGCGTTTGAACGATCTGCTGCGACAACTGCACGAAAGCTCCGAGGAAATCGCGGCATTGACGGCAGAACGCTCATCACTGCAAAATGACCTCCTGAGAGCACAATCTCAAACACCTGGCACTCCGATTCAACCCGCACCCTCAACATCACAACACGGGAGTGTGGGGCAACCCGCGAGCGCGGCCAGTGATGGCGTCGTCCGCCCCGACGGAGACGACGACCACGGCACGACACACCCCAGAGCGACGCCTGCGGCCCCAAGTCAGCCTCGCGTCACGATTTCGGCACCAACCCACGATTCGGGACTGCCGTCACCGATGCCGCTGAAGCCACAGCGCCCGCCATGCTTTGACCCGAGTCAACGGGGTGGTCCTACCGTCCAGGCGTGGCTGTTCACAATGAATGTTTTCTTCGACGCCAACTACGTCTCGGAGGACTCGGCGAAGATTCGATACGCCGTGTCGTTGCTGCGAGGACCCGCCATGGACTGGTGGCGCGTCATCGTCACGAAGCCGACCGACTACGCGACACTACCGACACGGGAAGGACAAACCGGACCCTGGGCGCCGTCGTATTTCGTGGAGGTGCCCCAGTATCGCACGTGGGACGCGTGGTGCGCAGGTCTGCGCGCTCGATTTGAGCCAATCGCGGCCTCGATCTCGGCGCGACAGAAGCTCCGCACTTGGCGCCAACTCGGTTCCGTCCAGGATTACACGAGCGGATTTCTGGCGCTATGCGAGCAGGTGGGCTACATGCATGAGAGCGAACGCATCGACCGCTACATCGGCGGCCTGAAGCAGGACATCGCTCAGGAAATCCAGCTTCGCGGCGTCACCGAATTTCAGGAAATTCTCGCTATGGCGGAGAAGCTCGACTTCTTTCGCCGACCGAGACCGGGGTCCTACGGAAACAACAACCGGGGACATCGGCCTCGTGGGACGAACGAAAGCGCCACGATACGCGCCGTCGCCGCAAATGCCGCTGCCGCACCGTTCAAAGGGCGCTGCTTTGCGTGCAATCGGCCGGGACATCGCAAGAGCGAATGCCCGGAAAACGCTAAGGGAAAGGGGGAAGCTGAGCAGCAGACACAGACCAAGCAGCAGGGAAACGCTGGAAGTCAGTAGCAGACGGGCCCTCTACTGACAGGTCACGCCGCTCGCCCGACCCAACCGACCCTCACCGAGTGATTGTGCCGGTTCACGCAATCGACCACACCCGGCCGAATAAGGAGGGTACCACGGTAGACAGCCCTATACTGCTCAGTGGGAAAATTGGGACGGACTTAGTTAAAATCTTCGTAGACGGGGGAGCCAGCCACAGCCTCATTAACACTGCTACAGCACGAAAACTGCGACTGCCACTGGACAGATGCTTACCTGAGATCGACGCACGACTGGTAGACGGCACGCCGCTGGCAATACGGGAACGCGTAGACCGAGTCCGGATTCGATGCGGGGGTAACTTCACGTTTAGTCAGGGAATGCTCGCAACGACCCTCGACGGAACCGACATTTTACTCGGGCGTGATTGGCTGCGACGACACAATCCGCGAATTGACTGGACGACGGGTGACTGCACCGTGCGAGTAAACGGTAACAACATCGCCTTACCTCGCTGGGGCTCGCCTGAGTCTTCGTCGGTGCGTGTCAATGCGATCACGATGAAACGCGCTGTAGCGGCCGGAGCTGACGTGTACGCGGTTGACATTCGGGAAGCCGAGGCAGCGGACAAGGGGGGCGATTTACAGAAACTGCTGACCGACGTACCGAGTGACCTGGCGGCACTGTTAAAACAGTACAGTGACATTTTCCCGGACGACCTGCCGACGGGACTGCCACCTCAGCGACCACACGATCACAGGATAGAACTGGAACCGGGGGCACAGCCAACAGTACAGCGACAGTTCCGACTGACCCAACC